TTATTATTATTATTAGAAAGTAAGAAGTTTGTTAAACTCATTTTTGTTTACTTTATATTGAATAGAGTAGCTTGATTTGGATTCAAGTGTAGCGTTTTATAAAATAAAACCTACAGAAGAAATTTAATTTGTAGTTATAACAAGGAAAAAATTGCATTATCTAGTATTAGTTCTTTTAGTTGCGAAAGTTTGTATGCGATTGACACTTTTCAGTCGCTTTTGTACCTGCAGTGTAAGATTTCAAGCAAATCACCTATAAAGTTGCCATCCCTACTACCGACGAACTTGCCAGTTTCAACAAAATGTCGCAAAAGCCAATCTCTTTTGATATAAGCTTAAATTTGCTATTGAGACCCTTTTATGCAATGACAAATACGAAACAAGGCACATATTTAGACTTTTCAGATAATGTAAGGGACAATGAGGCTTAAATCTTGCAAATGGTTGCTTTTCAACTGAATAAATGGAATCTTAAGTTACATCTACGGGAAAAGACAACCGTATTAATCGGATGACGATACGACAATCTTCTTATGGATGATATGATTCATGAACATACCATTTAAAATGAGTCAAAGACCTTTTCAACCGTACCTAAGTTCTTTAGCTTTGATATCTTTCATAATACCGGAAGTTCAGACTTGAATCCGAATTATATTGGAAATAAATGGCCATACCAGTTGTTACCTTGGAATGTCCACATGGAATGAATGGAAGTCCACATGGAATGGATGAACGGAATTCATGTCACTACAAATAATTAACTTTGCATTGCCCTTAAATAATGTACTTTAATTGGTTTAAAACTTGTTAGTAATGATTAAATAACGCCAGTTTTTTTTTTGTTTTGAAATGCTGCTACTGCAAATGCTTTTTGCTTGATTTTATTTACATTTGTTTGTTTGTACATAAAACATTCAAAATACTCATGTTGCGTTCAGACAAAATTGTCATTTTAGTTGGAAATAATGCTAAAAGCACTGCTGAGAAGAAGGCAAGTGGGTCAAAATGGCATGTATTCACTTTCCAGTTATTTTCAATAATAAATAATACATTGCAAACTAGGGAAAAGCCGTGCCTGAACATGTAAAAAGTACGGTAATAAAAGATTTAATTTAAGAATACCGAACTCTATCTCCGCTATGTTAAGAGGCTAATTAGCTGGCATTCTGTTCCAAATCCAAGATAATTACCTTCGTTTTATCAGAATCTGTTTTAAAAATGAGTTTCCAATTATCTCCGTTGGTGACACATTACAGGAAGCATGTTAGATCGTAACTGAATTATATGGAAAAAAACTAAACAAATATTCAAATAATCTTGTTTTTGTTATTTAAATTTTACAGTAAAATTTAATGAATATCGACATATTTGTTGAAATGACAAGATGCGTCCTTCAAGTAGCAAAACTGAAATAATTTGATTGAATTTGCCTGTTCCATTCGGAATTCCAATATTTCCTTTTTCAATTTGCTGAAGCGTCATTAATTTACTTAAGCAACAAATTATATACCATTCCTAGCCTAAACCTGAAACATTGTTCTAGGTCACGTTCATGAAGAAACGCCCAGAAAGTTGATGAACTTGAGCTTGATCAAACCCAACAATCATAGACGAGCTTTCGAAATCAAAACACTGCTGCTTATCACATACATTGGGGTTTTAGTCGATCTTAAACGGCTATTATGGGCTTCATTAGAGACGAGAATCAAAGTGAAGCGGTATGTAATTATAAAGTATTTACAGTCGCGGATAGCGCGGAGGAGTGGGACCCAGTAATTCATCACATAGACAGCTCATTTGCTATTCGTATTATCATAATTTTATTTGAACGCAGAGTTGACTGGCCTGAAACGACGAGGTGCAACGATATTATGTCAGAGTCTGTGTTAAAATGCGACGAACTCATGTTAATGTGATGTATCGTCTATATGCAGAAATACTCAATTTTCATTCATTTTTTCATTAACTCGATTTCAATTTCCATCAGTGGAATCAGTGCTGAGCAATATATTAGCGCTGATTGTTAGAGCAGCTTCCACTCATCTATCACTAATAAAACTTACTTTGAATAATTCCTGCTCAATCAATTCTTGTCTAAGTGCCCCAGATAACATTTGCAAAACACCGCATTGTTTTTTTAAATACTTTTATTGACTTAGTTTGGGGTACATTCAAATAGAAACAACATAAACCATAATGTTGCCAAGATGAGCCTGGTCTATAAAAGATTGAGTAAAATATTTAACAAACTTCCTCTGATTTTGCATGATTGCACAGGGCTTTAATTTTTATGAAATACGCAAATGACATAGCAAAATATAACCCTTCGACTTTGCTTCGATTCAAAGCTCAAAACAAAGTAAATTGGCTAACAAACTCAAATTGGCCATGGCCAGCTTGAAATAAAACATGACTTTAATGAATTAGGAAAAGCTGCAACAAAAACCGACTATTGCGTTTGAGAAAGTGAAACAAGAATTTGAAAATAAAGTTTTTTGTGTGGAAATCGGGCACTCACAACAAATATGTAGATGCTGAAGAAAAGTCAAACAGTTTTGCACGAAAACCAAAAAATGTTCTGATTAAGTATTATTTTAAAAGCTGCTAGTCGAACGTTTACAAGTCAATGATTTTTTTCTTAAAGTGCCTAACAAATTATCCATCCCCATTAGGGTTACTTGCTCAAATGACGCAGTGAAAAAACCTTTTGTATTTTACGATTCAACGGAAAAATAAGGAACCAGAAACGAGCCCTGGCAATCCTGCAATTTGCAATAAATCAACATTTGGAAATAGGTAGAGCAATTTCCTAACTAGATTTGCCTGAGTTTACTACCGTGAGAAGAAACACGTTCCAGGATTGTAAAATCCTTCGGACCAGCGCTTCGAAATAAAACGAAACTCCTCGTTTTTCGCCAAATCTATTTGCAGATAAATGATCGAATCTTTTCGAGCCAAATCTATCGTCGATAAGAAGTATTGGGTCTTTTGCCACTCGTTATTTTCGCCGCTTTTGAACTAAATCGCCCTGACCACTTCATTATGTTGCTGATTGAGTCATTTACTTTCCCCTTCATGAGATTAATACATGTGCGTTAAGGGAAAGTGACCACACGAGCGTATACTCCAGAATTTGTCGAATATGAAGCTGGAACAACCGGATTTCGAGCCACCCTAACAGATATTTAGATTTATATCCATTATATTGGTCACACAAATCGATGCTTAGGACAAATTGTGTATTAGGGGATGCCAGTTTATTCTCAATATTCTCATGTTAGACCTCTAATTGCATCGGTGGCTGCACGAAACACGTGACGATGCTGTAAGTAATGGTCAGTTATTTTTCGCAGAAAAAAAATGTTTTCAACCCTTCCGTTGTTAGGGTAAGAATCAATTCCGCTTGAATTATGCCCTTCAATACTTAAACATGCTGAACCGAAACAAACTGATTATGGGACAATTTTCAGCATAGTTGGGGGTTTGGGTCAGTTCAAGTTCACAGCAGTACCATGCACCTGTATTGTACATTTTAAAATAGATATGGAAGTGAAAAAATGCGCCAGTAAAGAAGAATAATGTGAATGTAGGAAACTGGTTTTTGTTGGTAATTGGCAATAAAACTTCACAAATAAATGTTCTATGCAATCCTTGGTTCACCTAATAAAAATAATATCTAGCCATTATTAAAATAATATCTCTAGAAACCAAATCTTATTAACTTCTTTCGGTTTTTTTATTACTTAGGTTTCTTTATTGTTTGTTTCAAGCGCATCATCAAGATGTTACCGCTAATTTAATAACAACCTTAGGCATTTATCCAGTAACTAAGAACACAGATAAAACCCACACTTTTATAATTCGAAATGTCACCTAACAATAATAGAATTTACGACACATAAAAAAATTAATATTTCGTTGCTTGTAAACATGAATAGCCTTGATGTCATAAAGGAGCATTAGTATTTTATTATCAACCTTTTTTTCATTAAAGCATTTCTGTATTAGAACGGCTCAGATTAGAATACCATCAACGTGTAATTCCATAGTTTACGTCTCCATTTTTCCAACAACAAAACAGTCATTTTGTATTAAAAGATGAATTATAACCGGCTAAATACAGACCCTAAAAACTATAAAGTTGCACATTTGCGCATTCAGCTTTGGCGGTAAATCTTTGCACCGCTAATTTTTAATAACCATAAATCAGATTAAAAAGCTGTAAAAATTTCGAATTATATCATTTCAGGGTAGTGTCCAGACACAAGACAAAGTAAAATTATAGCAGAGGCGTGAACGAAATATTGCTGATAATCAACTCAGTAGTTCTAATGGTATTTTGACCAGCTAATTCGCCTTAAATTACGATATTTCGTCTTTGATATACACATCACACAAATATACATTTGCAATTTTACACTATCTACTTATTATTTTTGTGGTTGGTATAAAATTAATGTGACTTTCAGTCGGAATTACCCTCAACTGCGCCTTCTGGAGTTTACTAGACAATTGAAAAATATTCTTCAATAATTTTGAATTATGTACAGGATACTTTTGTATTTTCGAAAACTTCACAATTTTAATTAACCTCAGATAAGAAGATTTTCGGAAAATCAAATAGCGAACAGTCTGAGATAATTTATTGTTTTGCATTATGATCTACTAATTTAATAATAATTAGTTATTATTCAATTCGTTTTTTGAATTTGCACCTTATTTCAAACGCAGACTTGCAGCACTAACGCAATCTTGATCGGTCCAAATTTGCTCTAAAAGTGTTTCTTGCAGTTCAATGCCTGGCAGGTTCCATACATGAAGGCGAAACAATCCACACCATGGTAAATTTGAAAGCAACTTTAAGTAGGAGAACAAGTGGAAACATTTGAAAATACTAGTACCTGTCTTAAGCTCAAAAACAAAACGTGAATTAAGAAAGAC